AGAGAGAATTATACTTAAAGTTCAGGGTAAAAAACTGTTAAAAACATACTGTTCACATTTTTTTCTCCAATAAATGGATGTTTTCAAAGTCAATGAATAATTATGGGATGCTGCAATGCATGATGTGTTTGGTGTTTCAGCCAATCAGAGACAGGCTCTGTATATATCTGAGACCTGGTATATATTGATGAAAAACAGTATGATAGGTGACCTTTAAACACTTATTATTTAACTTTCTCCACTTCACCCCCCTGGTGTCCACAGTACGTCCTGAACGTGGCAGAAGCTCACCTCTCCCTCCTTGTCAAACCCCAGGATATCATTGCCCACACTGCTGGTCCTGCCACTCTCCATTTCATGTTTGTGTCTAAAGAGCTTCTGGCGAGCAAAGCCTCGGCCATTGTCCAGCTCACCGTGGGTCAGAACCCCCAGCAGAGTGCTCTTCCCCGCGTCCACATTCCCCACCACCGCCACCCTGAGGACCAGAGGGAGGAGAACAGGAAGAGTGGGTTATATCAAACATGTCACGCAACGGGGAGATTCACAGCGTTACAACGGTACAGTGCAAATTAAAAGTAAAAAGAGTAAGAGACTTAGATCTTATTTAATACAGGCAGGCTAACAATATTAATAATAAAACACAATAGATCAATTAAATAACAGATACGTACACCATGGTAACAAAAACTAGCATTTTGTGAAAATATTGAAGTAGCTATTAATGTAGGGCTGCTCGATTATGGCAAAAATCATAATTTCGATTATTTGGGTCAATAATTGATATCACGATTATTAAAAACCATTGTCCATTTACTTTGAAAACATACATTTATTGAAAAAAAACAAAAACAAAACGTTAAGTATAATTCAACTGAAAAATCAATAAAAAATAATAAAAAAATACAAATAAAATAAATAATCGTTTTATTTCAATTTTTTTTTTCATAATCGTTGCAAGCCAAAATCATAATTGCGATTAATTGAGCAGCCCTAAATTAATGTTAACAAATTGTGAATACATTTAAATAAATTAAATTAAATTAAATTAATTGCACATGAGCGGAGGTGTTGAACAAAGCTTTCTCTATCTATGTTTTTATTAACAAGTGAAGTCAGATAATCCAATCCAACTTTATTTATATAGCACTTTAAAACCTTCAGACCAAAGTGCTGTACAGAGAGATAAGCTCACACAACATAATATAAATATATTTAAAATACGAGATACAAACACAAAACAAACCAGAATAAAACTGATATTGGAACTGCGATATAAACTCTGGTGCTGAAACTATATCATCTCTCAAAATGCACTTCCACCAACAAAAACTAATCCAAAACAAACCATGCACCTTAACAAATGTCAACATATATAAGGTGCCATGGGGTACTACATTTTAGACTTCAAACCATCAGCATTATTCTCAGCCAGAGCATTTCCTCTTATTTGTAAGGCAAGGCCAGTTGATTTATTTAGCACCTTTCAACACAAGGCAATTCAAAGTGCTTTACAACGAGGAAAGATATTAAGAAACATAACTTCTAATCTGAAACCCAATATTCATAATATTCAACGGATCCTGGCCAAATTTGTGAAGCATATAGAATGAATTTGCTCCCAGACATTCATGTGGCTTGCTAGCTGCAGACCCCCATCTGTGGTCAAGAAGTCACCACTTAAGCAGGGCTCGAGCTTACATAAACATTATATGGCAGTTTTAGTTTAGCCAACTCCATTTCTAAAATGCAATAAGACTACGACATGCGTCTATGATGTATTTTCGAGCTTTCCAATCCAGACGAGATCTCTCTCTCCCGTCTGTGTGCGAGGGGGCGGGGCAGTTTGTAAAGGTCTCCTGACTGTGTTACAGACTGTC